TGGCACCTAACAATGACTACATTATCACCTTGGAAACCCTGCAGGGAAGCTATACTGTATTCTATAGGGGGGTTATGCTTTAGGATGAACTCAGTGGCAATATTCTGTTGGTATTTTAAAATAAGTAATTGTGACAGCCCTAATATTTGAGAACCACTGGCATATAAAATTTGATGTCACAGTAGATATAATTTTCTTATCATCTGTTCCTAGAAATAAAATGAAAAACTAGATTCCAGTCCAATTAACAAGCTAGTATTGATCTCAATTATGTCAGGTTACCATCTGCTCCATAACACCAGTCACTGCCAAAACCAGTTGTCACCAAAAGTGCTTCAACACAACTGTGTTTACAGGATAACTACAGGTTTACATTAAACTTCCTTAACAACGCTCTATCTGGAGTAACCCAGAGTCATTTATTTCCAAAGTAAAGTGTGGAGAAGACACACTGGCAGTACATAGACTAGAAATTTGTACTTTGGATGAGCCTCACTACAACCTGAAACTTATTTGGATGATAATATTTTGAACTTTGAGCTAATACTGTAATCATAGCAACTTCTGGACATCTTAGGAGGGAGTATTTGGCATGTGAGACAGACATGAATCATTGAGGACTAGAAGGGGTAACTATAAGCAGACAGCTTTCTAAGATGGCCCCAGATGATCCCTGACTTCCGGAAGACACACCCTTGTGAAATTCCCTCTCAGTTGTGGGCTGTACCTAATGACTCATGCTTTTCCTATGAATTTCTCACTCTAATGAAGCAAGGTGCCATGTTTATGCTATCCTGTGGAGAAGTTCCTCCTCTCCACAAGGAACTGAGGGAGGCCTCCAAACAGTCCATGAAAAACTAAAGTCTGCTAACAATCACCTGAATGAATTTGGAATCAGATTCACCACTGGTCCACTTTGAGATGCCCGTAGCCCTACCTCACACATAGATTGTTGTAGTCTTTTCTGACAGACCTAGAGCCAGAGGTTCTAGCTAAGATGCACCAGAACTCCTGATACACAGAAACTGTGAAGTAATAAATACTGCTGTTCTAAGCCACAAAATTTTGGAGTAATTATTTAACTAGCAATAACTAACTTAAAAATAAAAATAAAAACTATTAGATTTTACTCCTGAAAGCATCATCTGGACACCATTTCACTGAAAAGATTATCTGCAAAAACTATTAGTTGTTTTGAACTGGAATTTCAAGATGTTTTTAAAACATTTTCAGGTAATGTAGTATCTCTGAATTTCCCATGTTTATCAACTTCTCTAATTCTGATCCATAAAGCTTTTCCCACTTAAATTAGTTCATTTAAAATTTGATTGACTAGTAGAGCTATTTAACTTTGTCCCTTGGAATAGTGTCTCACAAGCCTACTGGAGTATTAAAGAAAGAAAAATCAACAGGGAAAAAACAAAACCCTAGAAAATCCAAGGTATCTTTTTCTTCTGGAAAAATGAGAAAACCCAAGATACATTTTACTTGTGGAAAATCGTACGTAGACACAGAGAAAAACCTCACTTCCTTGAACTAACAAAGTAAAATTCTTGGGTTAGATGGTTTACCGAAACTTCCTTACCTTGAATGCACTGAAGTGTTCCATCCTCTGCTCTTATTGTAAAAGTCTCACCTGGATTAACTTGAACGAGAATAACCTGCCAAAATAACACATTAATTTCAGTTTAATATTAGAACATCTGGGAATTTTCTTCATTTCAACAGTTTTATCACCAAAATTTATGTACTAGACAGGAAGTATGTTGCACCAAATCTTGTAAAAGCACAAAACTCAGGCTCAAAGTCAGACCTGGTTCAAATTTGAGGGTGTGGAGGAGTATACTCATAAGTGAATTCTCACATTTCTTAGGATGCTTTAGAAATTGAAAACAACAACAACAACAAAATTACAAAAGCTTTTCTTTGGAAAACACATTTTTTCCCCTGTCTTTCACCAATTTAAAAATAGCAGTGAAGATACAAGACCGAAAATTACTTAGAGGACAACTGCACTAAGAAATGAGGTTTGAATCGAACACACTTGCATACTGTTCCCAAGTGTCTAGTGGTGGTGATGTGTGCCACGGAGTCGGTTCCAACCCATAGCGACCCTGTACAGGGTATCTGAGGCTGTAAATCTTTACGGGAGTGACAGCCTCATCTTTCTCCCACAGAACAGCTGGTAGTTTCCAACTGCTGACCTTGAGGTTCGCAGCCCGAAGTGTCTATTACTGACCTAGATATTATGAATCTACTGTGTTACAATACAAAGCAAAATATGTGGGGAAATTATCATCTGAATATAAGATATAGTAATGACCAGTATTAAATAAATATAATTACAAATAGGCTCCAATGACACTCAAATTTTGAAATCTACTACCTAAATGTCAGTGTTTTAAACTTATGAATTGGTCTAACATAAATACTTAATATTTGAGTGGCAATGACAAAGTATTTCCTTTCAACAGTCTTGTAATTTTAATGTGGCGCTGCAGGGTAATGCACCTTAAGGTAATGGACCTTAAGGTCAGTTTGAAACACAAAGCCAGCAGTTCAAACCCATTAGCCACTCCTCAGATACCCTATACAGGGTCCCTATTGGTCGGAAACAACTTGATGGCAACATGATCATTGGACAACAAAAGGGAAAATTAAAAATTTATATCTAAATACCAATTAAAGGACACAATGCACAATTTCAAGTTATAGTTAACTCATGACCTGGTTGACACCATTCAATTTCAAGATATTAGTGCCACACTTATCCTAGAGGTCTTAGAGCAACTCTTGCTCCCCCTGTCTTGGAACCATCAAGCAGACAAGTTCCCACTCTGTGTGCAAAGCAGTTTGGGGACTAGTTTATCCCTGCCAACCAATGACCTGCTAAAGTCTATTCATTGTTCTCAGCTTACAAAGTGGTCTTTGAGCCTCATGACAAGTCAGATCATACATTGCATGTTCTCAAAAAATAAACAAGCAGCAACAAAATCCTTCCTTTCCTTCCTAGAACCAATTAACCAGGCAATCACTTTACTGTATTGAAGCAGCTTGCTCCCATAAAGACCTACAGTCTGGGAAACCCTATCTAGAGTCTCCTGTGAGTCAAAACTAACTTGATGACAGTGCATTTGGTTTTCCTATAGTGTTTCAGGATAATACGCCGGGCTACAAAGTCAGTTAGAACTTCAAGGTTGGTGGTTGCTATAAATTGGAACTGACCTGACAGCACTTAACAACAACAAAATATGAACAAGATCTCACTATCTTTGCGCAGTGCTTGAATCAAAGTCATTTCATCTTTAAGACGTCAACCTTTAGTATCATGCCCTTTGCTCTTCTAATATTTTGCCACAGGAGACATTTTTTAAATCAGAAAATACATTAACTGGGAAAAAAAAAAACAGGATCATTCAAAGGAAAAGAAGTTCAAGTTTCATCTCTGGTTCTTCTCATTATTTTAAATTATAAAAGCTGTTTCTGGGTACTTTATTTGTCCTATATAACTGTATCAATGAATTTTCACTGTTCGTTATTCAAATTCTCAGACGCTACACCATTTCAAAAACTCAAAAGGAAATCTCTTCAGATCTTCAATGTGAATAAAACATTTTGAATGTGTTATTAAAACTGAGCTCTTCAAGCCATTCCTTTAAAATGAAAATCATTTCTAATTCACTTTACTATTATATAAATATAGAACATAATGATTTCAATGGAATAAAACAACACTTCAAAGAAGAAAATTATTAATGTGCTTGTAAAACATCTTTAGACCAAGTCTAACATCACTATGTTGTCAAGTGCCGTCGAGTCGATTCCGACCCATAGTGACCCTGTATAGGGTTTCCAAGGAGCAGCTGGTGAGCTTGAATCACCGACCTTGCAGTTCAAATGGCTTTGCAGTCTGGTGCATTAACCCACAGCGCCACACCAGGACTCCAACATCACTACACTAGAGCAGAAACAGTCTACTTTTTGTTTAAACCCCCTAGGATAGACCTATAATATATGCCTGTGGAATTAATTGAAGGGGGGGGGAAATCAATGCCCACCACATTTATAACTGACAGACAATGTGTCCTGAAAATGGGTTATGAAAATAAAATTCACCATTATTGTGGAAAATTCTGAGCAAGGAAAGAAATTTCTGAAAAAGTGCAGGTTCCAGATCCTGTCATGTTATCTGATTATCAGATTGCAAGACAACTGTCTGTCATATTTCCTTAGTGGTTCCTTAGTTCAAAGAATGGCCTGGAGGTGTCTACCCTCCAAAATCCACTGATGTCTTCTCCCTCCCTTTTATTGAGGCCAATTCCTGACCCACAACCCACTTCTTCAAGAAAGGAGACGACAGTGCTTTTAAGTATTTTACTAAAATACTTGTCTTCAAATGTTTAGTCCCCATAATTCTCTCTGCTGTTGAGTAGCTGTGGCAACCAGATTATAATCTACCAAATTACCTCAGAAACCAGGCAAATCTTCTCTGTCCCAAAATCAATTTTTCTCAGTAAGAGCAAAAGTCATTATTTGAACAAACTGTATTCACCTCAACACTGAGATGTTTTAAAAGAAAGCATTTTATTCTGCTGAAGGAGACTGACCACCTTACTGCTTTCACTGTCAATCAAGAATAGATAAAAAATAAAGTCTTGACACACACCAGGCCGTGATCTGTGCCTGACAACAGACATGAATGAAAAAGCAGCAAAAGGCCTTGCATCACGCAGCCTTGAGGAGTATGAGTCACACTCTGGCAGGCTTGGTGGCACTTAACCTTTTGTATTTTACAAATCAGTCAGTCAGTCAGTCAGTCAGTCAGTCAGTCAGTCAGTCAGTCTGTCAGTCAGTCAGTCAGTCAGTCAGTCAGTCTCTCTCTCTCTCTCTCTCTCTCCCTGGCCACAAAACAGGCATAACTGTTGCAAGTTCTCTTATATATAAAGCATGGAACATAATACATAGTAATATCACTGTCCAAACCTCCTCATCTTTCGTTCACTCACAAAGCAGTACTTGCTTTTCCAAAGTCAGCATTAAACTGATTCAAGCTCTATACCATGACCTCACAGATGCAGAGGGAAAAAGACAAAAGATTTTAACCACTGATTAAGAGTCTTCTCCTGTGAGAAGTTGAAATAGAACCATGTCAGTCAAATCACAGGAGCATACTCCAGGCTACTGTTGCTTCATAGGATCTGTTTCAAATCTGTGAGTGGTACATGACCCAAGAAGTCTGAAATAAACAGAGGCAGTTTATTGAGACTTAATGAAAAATAAACGGCCACTTTTCCAGAGTTTTAAAGTAACAATAAAACAAGAGTTAGAATTAACATGATTGAACTAGAAGTTAAATACAGCACCTTGGGAATGCTATAGTCACAAGAGAACTGAAGCAGGTGCTGCAGAGCTTTCTGAGAAGGTATAAATCTAAATCTAATTCAGTTTTCAACTTATTAGAAAAAGAGAGTTTCTTTTGCAATTAAAATTCGGGGTGGCTGAACAACGAGAAGATCAGTAGTATCTAAGATTACGCAGAGAGGCAAACTCCTAAATTATTGGTATCTAATGAATAATTACCAGTCACATGGCTAAGGAATCACCACAATGATGAAAGCTATCATGGAAGCTTCTATGGGAGAACAGCACTGATTGTAAGATGAAATACTACATTTGCAGCATCTTAATAACTTCAATCCAATGCAGACTACACCAAGACTGTGCAAGGAGAGGAGATCTCATTTCACTTCAGGAGCTTGTCCCCTAACACACTCAGTGAGGCTAGTCTTACTCTTAGCTGTTTCATATATAAATGAACACCTTGCAGTTGGCCAGTACATATGATTACCCAACAGGTAACTTTAGGGAGGAAAATGACACAACCTAAAAGTTGCAGATTTCCAAGTAAGGAAGAAAGAGCTATAATTTCAGAAATAACAAAAAAAAAACTTAAATAAATAGGGTGCTGTGTTAACCTTTTTGTTCAATCATGTTAATATGCCCCAGATTTTCAAAGTCTGGGGAAATCCTAGTGAGTTCTTCCAAAACCCAAAAAATACCAAATCATCTACCAACTAACACCTTTGAGACCCTGGTCTTTATGGCAAGGACCAAAATTGCCTTGTTGTTGTTGTTGTTAGGTGCCATCCAGTCGGTACCGACTCATAACGGCCTTATGCACAGCAGAACGAAACACTGCCCGGTCCTGGGCCAACATTACTATCATTGCCATTCTTGAGCCCATTGATGCTGCCACTTTGCCAATTCATCTCACTAGGGGTCTTCCTCTTTTTCTCTGACCCTCCACCTTATCAAACATGATATCCTTCTCCAGCAACTGATCCCTCCTGACAATATGACCAAAGTATGAGAGACAAAGTTTGGCCATCTAGCCTCCAAGGAGCACTCTGGCTGCACTTCTTCCAACACAGATCTGTTGGTTCTTTTGGCAGCCCATGGCACTTTCAATATTCTCCTCTAACACCATAACTCAAAAGCATCAATTCTTCTACGGTCTTCCTTATTCACTGTCCAGCTTTAGCATGCATATGAGGTTATTGAAAATACTATGGTTTGGGTCAGGCGCACCTTAGCCCTCAAGCTGACATCTTTGCTCTTCAACACTTTCAAAAAGTCTTGTGCAGCAGATTTGCCTAATACA